CTCACAGTTACATTTTAGGGAGATTTCTGTTTGGGTTCGTTCTTTTGAGACATGGTCTCAGTGTGTAGCCCAGGCTGGCCTTGAACTTGCTGTGATCTTCCTGCTTCAGCCTTCTAAGTGCTGGGATTATAGTTGTGTGCCACCACAACTGGCTGGATGCTCATGGAAAGTTTTAGTATAAACATGTATCAATTGAAACCAATCCATTCACGATAAAGCAAAGGTAGTAGAATTCAGCACTGTGTGGACCTCTGTGGTACTTAAATAACCCATGTAAGGCCATGCAGTGTGCAGATTAGAGTCAGCCTGCCTCCTTGGTTTGCTCCCGAGTATGCAGAAACTAGGGGAGAACTTGATACTTGGCTCAAGGCTCAGTGGCCTGCGACATCACAATTCTGCAGTCACTGTGCAAACACAGTCCCAATACCCAGGTCTCTGTGTGGAGAAAAAGGAAATGATGGGGATACTGTGACATCACAGCTTCCTCCCCTCCCCCCCATCTCCTTCCCTCTCTTCTTAACATGAACTTTCTAGAGGGAATCTCAAGATGCCTGGGGGGGCAGGAAAATAGCTCAGTGGCTTAAGTGCCTTCCAGGCAAGTTCAAGGTCCTGAGTTCAATTCCTGATACCAAATAAAAAGTTACTTAGGGGCTGGGGAGATAGCTCAGTAGAATAAATGCATGCCTAGCAAGCACAAGGGCCTGAGTTCAAAAAAAAAAAAAAAAAAAAAAAAAAAAAATCAAGGTCATGAGTTCAATCCCTGATACTGCCAAAAAAATTTTAAAAATCTGCCAATTTTTGGGGTTAGGGAGATGGCTCAGAAGAATAAGTGCTTCCCTGGCAAGCGCAAGGGCCTGAGTTCAATCCCCAGTTCTGCAAAAAAAATCAAGATGCTGTATAATAGGCACATCAAGTCTGTTGTAGCAATACTATATTTTCTCTTAGTGGATCTAAATAACCCATTCCCTAGGTGGCTTTTCCGGGTTAGGGTCAGGACACACCTCCCCTGGCTCTGACTAAAGGGAGGACTCGAGCTAGAAAGCAAGCGATGGAGCACCACGGAAATGTTTGGTTAGGATGCGGGAATTCCCGTTTGCCCTTCTGCTTGACCTTTGTGAGGTTTTTTCTTCTAATGTGGTTTTTCATTATGGTTTTTATTATTTTATGTCATCTGGTAGTGCTAGGATCAGCACAGGTTCCGTGCGTGCTAGACACGCGTTCCACTCTGGGCCACAGACACCCACAGCTCCTTTGTGTGTGTGCACATGGTACAGATCGATCGATTGATTGATTGATTGATTGATTGATATCCCTCATATGATGCCAGTGGGGTTTTATAGACACCTCTTCCCTCGCTGTGTTGGGTTAATAGTCTCTGTGCAGAGCAGTACTAGGCTGCACAGTTTCTAGCCACAGTTTTGTATTTCAGCTTTGTTTGACACTTCAGTTCTTTAAACTGCACACCAGAAACAGCATTGTATGTGCTGTTTGTTTCTGAAGAGGCTGACTGAGCTCTTCCTGTGTGTGTGTGGTGGGAGGGGCAGGAAGAAGAGTGTGTGTGCCACCGCCCCTGGCCTCGGAGCTGACGCTGTAGGGCGGGGATGTTCTTATGCAGGGAGTTTTAAAGCATTCTCAAGCAGCCACTGCCCCATAGTTGCTGATGTTTGTTTGTTTTTCCTTTTGAGACAGGGTTTCACTATGCAGTTCAGGCTGGCCTTGAACTCACTTTGTATCCCAGGCTGGCCCCAAACTCAGCTGCTGACTTTTGAAACAGAGCTTCCCCTTGGGAACCGTTTGGTAGGGGTCATTCGCTTGCAGAAGGAGGTGTGTGTGTGTGTGTGTGTGTGTGTGTGTGTGTGTGTGTGTAAGCAAGGGGGAAACCATCATGCACAGGCCCCAAGAGCTATCTGCGCCCTGGGCTGACCCTGCTGGCCTGGTGCACACACTGCAGTCACCGGCCCACAGGAAAAGCCACACCCAGCAGTGCATGCTTTCTGGGAGTGTGGAGGTCACAGGGGGCTGGGTCCCCAAGTCCCTGCTCCTACTGATGATGCCCAGGACGCTGGATCAGTGGTGGCAACATTAATGGAAAAGGCACAATTGATCCCTGAAGACTTCCTTTTAGGAAAAAAAAGTTCTTTGTTTTGTTTTTTTTAAAATAGACTGCCCACCTTTCCCAAAGCAAAATGGTTTCTCTACTGAGCTTCCTCTGAGCTGTAGAGCCAGGAAGTCTGTGAGTAAAAACACAGGGTTGGTGCAAGTCTGTACTCCCAGCCCTCAGGAGGCTGAGGCAGGAGTGAGTTCAAGCCCAGGACTATATAGTGAGACTCTGTCTGAAAAACAGAAACAAAACTAAAACTAAAATTCAGATATACAGATGAGTGAAGAATTTTTTTTCTTCTTCTTTCTGGTGGAACCGGGGATTGAACTCAGGCATTTGTGCTTGCCAGGCTAGTGCTTATTCTACTGAGCTATCTCCCCGGCCCCAGGAATTGTTTTTTAAAGGCGGGGTCTTGCTGTATAGTTCAGGCTGGCCTTCAGTTCACTCTGTAGCCCAGAGTGGCCTTGAACTTGAATAGATGCTCTTCCTGCCTCAGCCTCCAGAGTGCTGGGATCATGGGTATGTGCCACCACACCCAACATCTGCTACATTACTGATGGGTATATAAAATTGTGCCTTCAGTGTATAAGATAATTATCAATTCCCCCATTTATTGTGTGACATAGAAGTTCCTCTTCCAGGATTCCACTGCAGGAAGATATCAAGGTGTTCACACAAAAGCATGAAAGTGTTACTGCAGTGTCAGGGGAAGAAGATACATGAAATGGTGTGCGCGCGCGCACACACACACACACACACACACACACCCAGACTGTTCTTCTTAAACATGAAGGCAGTCCTGGCACGTGCACTACCATGACGGGTCCTCGTGGACACCACTAGTGAAGTGAGCTGCAGGGAGGCGGGGAGGGCGCCCTGCTCCTCCCGGTAGAGGAGGGGTCTGCAGGCTTCAAGTCACAGCTCCCTGGAGCAGCTCTGCTGCTCAAGAGAGGGAGAGGAACGCATGCGTGATGGGGTGCCCCACAGACATGTGGCACGTGGGTGGCATCTCAGAAGCCCCAGAGTTTTAGCACAGGAGCCTCAGAAGCCAGGCTTTTGGAGCCATGTGGCTCCTGCCTGGACTTGCTATTTCTAGCTGTGTGGCTTTGGCTTTATTTCTTGTTGTCTTGAGGCAGAACTGGCTGTGTATCCCAGGCTGGCTTTGAGCTTGCCGCTTAGCCCCACCTGGCCACAGCCTTAGCTCCCAAGGACTGGGGTGACCCGTGCTGCTCCCGTGTACCTGTGTTTCCTGTGTGCTTCCTAGCGGCCTTGGGCAAAACATTGAGAGTGATGGCAGCTGCTGGGGTGGGCTGTGCCAGCGGAGGGCCTGTGGCTCATCTGGCCTCATGTCTGCATCTGCTCAGAACCTGTCGATTCGCCTGAAGCCCCTGGAACAGCAGCTATGAGGCAGTCCACTCCGTACCCTATTTCCGATCCCCCAGCACTACCTCCACATAGTCAGGAAACTGGCCCTGTCTGTGACTCATTGGACTGATACTTTGGATTCAATGTATTCCAAAAGTCGTATTACAGGGCCAGCCAGATAGTTCAGTGGACTAAAGTGCCTGATTAAGCAGGCACAGGGAATGGGGTTCGATCCCTGGCATGCCCTGCCGGTCCCACCTCCAGGGCCCACTGAGAAGGTGCCTGAGACTGGGCATGGTGGTGTGCGTGCCTGTAATCCCAGCATGCCTGTAATTTTGGGAGGCTGAAAACGGGAGGTTCAGTAGGAATCTGATCTACGTAGTGAGACCCTGTAGACCCGGCACTAAATACAAAAAACAAAACAAAAATGATAATAATTTAAAAGTTGCGTTGTTGTCACCCATCGCTATTTCTCTCTACTGGGGATCAAACCCAGGATGTTCACACTGAGCTACAAGCCCAGCCCTTCATGTTTTATTTTGAGATTGGTCTCCTTAAGTCACTGAGCTGCCAATACTGGGCTCAGACTCATGATTCTCCTGCCTCAGCCTCCCAGAATGCTGCAATTATAGACAGGTGTGCTTAGCTTCTGTTTGTAAAGTGCAGGTTTCCCTGTGTGATCTTTTTACATGTGTGTTCTGTGTTCCAAGCTAAGGCCCTAGAGCCCAGAGGGCCCTATCACAAACCCTGACCCTTCCCAACATACTCTGCAGGTTGCCATGGCGTAGTACAAACTGAATAAACAGGAGAAGGGGCCAGGGAGATGGCTCAGTGGAATAAGTGCTTCCCTAGCAAGCACAAGGGCCTGAGTTCAATCCCCAGTTCCGCAATAAATAAATAAATAAATAAACAAACAAACAGGAGGGTGGAGTGAAGTCCACACTGTGGCTCTCTGTCCACAGCTGGTGCTCATCATTCTCCATCCAGGCCTTGCCTGTCAGGCACCTGGGGAGCAAGGTCTCCTAACCAGGTGGTCACTGAGCTCAGGGGTGGGGGGGTGGTGAGGCTTTAGATCCAGGTGTCTCTCTTAAAACTCAGGCTGAGAAGCCAGGCCTGGTGGCGTGTGTGTTATCCCAAAGGCTGAGGCAGGAGGCTCACTGCTAGTTGGGCCAACTTGGGCTATGTAGTTCAAGGCCAGCACCCTGGACCACCTGGACAGACCCTGTCTCAAATACATAAACAGACTCAGGCTGAGAGCCATAGGACCCAGGAGGTAAAGTAACAGAGGCCAGCAGTTCCCAAGCCTCACTGATTTTTACAGCTAGCTTGGGGCCCAGGAACACTGTGAGGGTCGAAGAACTCTGCAGCTGTTAAAGAGTTTCATAGGTGTGTGTGGGATCGGGTGCCCACCGAGAAAGACCCTTGACCCCGACCTTCTCAGGAGGCACCAGCATCACGGAAACTCCAGCTGCGGGTATCTGGGGTACCATGGCCAACCCGCACTGACCTCCTCTCCCCTCCTGTTTTCCAGGCTGTGGACGCTAGCAGGGGCCGCCGGGCTCGGCACCTGGCCGGGTAGAAACGAGATGGGTGCAACTGCCAGCAGGACGTGAGCCCGGGCTGCGGTGAGGACGGAGCTGCGGGTAAGAGGCACAGCAGGCGCATGTGCGAATGCAAGTCCATGCCGAGAAGCGAGCGATCAGGGCCTCCTCCATCCCTCAGCTACAAGGCCTCCTCATAGCCAAAAGCACCATGCCAGAGATGCACGGTCAGAGTCAAAGATCTACCAGTACCTTGGAGTTATGTGGACTCCCTGCATAGCAGGCATCTACCTAGTACCTGAGGTCTACACATTTTTATTTTTTAATCTGTATTTTAGGGAAGGGTCTGCAGAGTGTTCAGGGTCTCACTATTAGATTGGACTCGTAGTGATTCTCCTGTTTACAGCCTCCCAAGAGCTGGGATTACAGGCGTGCACCACCACGCCCAGTCTCAATTACAGTCTCAGAGTGCCCTGGGGATCAAACTCCCAGCTCCTGCATCTGCTTGCAGGCGCTTTAATCTGCTGAGCTATGTGGCTGACCCCAACATTTCTAAACAGAAATAATCATTTAGATTACAAGTATCAATGCTTGGTGTGGTGGTATACACCTGTAACTCCAGCTGTTGGAAGGCTGAGGCAGGAGGATCACAGTGAATTCAAGCCAGCCTGAACCATATAGCAAAACTCAGTCTCAAAAAAGCAAATGAACAAAACAAAATACTCAAAGTAAATAAAGACCAAGAGCCTGCCAAGTAGCTCAGTGGATTAAAGTGTGTGCAAGCAGTGCAGGGGCCAGGGGTTTGATCCCTGGGTCTGCCATGCTGGTCCCCCCCCCCGCGCATGCTGAGACAGCAATTGAGACTGGTGGTGATGGTGCACACCTGTAATCCCAGTTCTTGGGAGGCTGTAAACAGGTGGATCGCTAGGAGTCGGATCTAAGCAGTGAGACCTTGAACACCCTTATAGATCCTTCCCTAAAATACAAAATAAATAAATACCAAAATAGAAGCTAAATAGGAAATATGAAGTAATTCAAATGAATTATTCTATTGCTTTGAAAATATTTCACATCTATGCAAATTTATATCATCTATACTACTAGTGTTTCCATTGAAAAGAAAGTTTTGTGCTATGATCTGACTGTCTTTGTAAGAGGGAGATGCTTTGTATCTGAGTAATATGTTGGCTGTTCTTTTAAAATGATTGGACATGGTGTATAAGTTACTATTGCTCTCTAATTTTGTTACAAGATTCTTTTCACAGAAGTGAGAAGAGTGATCTTCTGTATTTTCTTCATTTTATGTATTTAGTACAGGGTCTACAGGGTCTCACTATGTAGACTGGACCTGTAGTGATCCTCCTATTTTCAGCCTCTCAAGCTCTGGGATTATGGGCGTGTGCCACCGTGTCCAGTCTCAGTCACTGTCCCAGCGCACCCCAGGGGCAGGGCCAGCATGGCACAACAGGGATCGAACCCCGGTCTCTGCATTTGCCTAAGCAGGTGCTTTAATCCACTGAGCTATCTGGCCAGCCCTTTTGTATTTTCCTTATTAACATCTACCGTGTCCATGAGGATAATGCAGTCAGCAGAAAAAGTGGGGCATCTGCACCCTGTGGCCAGTGTTGCTGTCCGCCTTGCTGAGGACCAAATGCTTGACCCTGGGGTAAGAAGGGCAGGCTGGAGACCACATGATGTTCATCCCCAGGAATTTGTGAAAACAAACATTCAGGTAGTGAGAGAGGCAGATCCCCATGCTTGCGTCATGGCCTTAAGATTGCCTATCTGAAGACCAGTTATCTGTTTGCAAGCCCCGCCCAAAGCCAGGTTCTTTACAGAGCATTTCCTTCCCAGGTGTCTGTGGAGTAGGGGGACAACAATGTCTGTTCCTTTGATGCCAGCGACTGAACCACACCCTTTGCACTGAGCTACACCAGCAGTCCCTCCACCCCTTTTTCTAAATATTGAAATGGGGCCTGGATAAGCCAATAAGTGCCAGGCTGGGCTCAAACTTGTAATCCTCTTGCTTCAGCCTCCCAGAGTGCTGGGCTCACAGCTGTGCACCTCTGTACCTGACCTAATATGGGTTGTTCTTTTTCCCCTGAAATATTTAAGATGCAGACAAAAATGAATGCCACTATGTATGCCTTTGCCTATGCTGTAAACCAGTTTTTTTTGTTTGTTTGTTTTGTTTTGTTTGTTTGTTTGCGGAACTGGGAATTGAACTCAGGCCCTTGCACTTGCCAGGGAAGCACTTATTCTACTGAACCATCTCCCCAGCCCTTGTAAACCAGTTTGAATGATTAGGTCAGTGTAAAAAAGCCATCAGAGATTGAGTGATCAGGAGGAAGTGACAGGCACTTGCTCCTCAGTGACACTGGTGACACTTCTGTGTTCCCCAGTGTTCTTGCCTTCACCTGACAGCTCATCGCTGTGGCTGAGACTCTGACTGGGACCTCCTCAGTCCCAGTGAGAACCACCCAGGCAGTCCTGGCCAAGCCAAAGCCTTGCTCCTGGCTGTCTCAGGTCCCAGGACAGCCATCTCTACCTGGAGTTGGAGATCACTATGAGGAAACAGAACTCGCACACTGCTGACTCTCAGAATGAGCATTTTCCCCTGGCCTGTTCATATTTTTAGCATCATCATTGCCACTGAAAATAGACTTCCTCTTTCCCCTGTCGGGCTGGAAAGTCTTCGGTAATTCCGCACACAGCAGTGTCTCTCTCCCCCTCCCTGACACAGTGACGTGGGTGGCCAAGGCGGCTCCCTCCCTCCCTCCCTCACTCCCCATCCTGTCCCCGACTGAGGAGCCAGCCAGGGCCTTGTGGGCTGAGATTTGCATCCAGCCTTAGTGAGAATGTTTTCCCTCCTTGGAGGTGCAGGGCTGGTAAGGAAGTATAAGACTTTTGGGCAAAGTCTCAAACCAGGCGAATCACCAAAGTGAAAAGGAGAGGGGAAATTAAATACTCGCTGCTTGGCCAGAGACCTTTCCTGTAGCTCTCTGAGAAGACTTCCTCCCTTGTGCTTCCAAAACTCTTAGTGGGCATTCAGTTTTTACAGTTAGATTAGCTCAGCCAGGACTTATTTTCAGGAGTAAATAAGCCTGGACTTATTTTTAGCACATTTACTACTGGTATGTTCCTGGGAAAATGGCTTAACCTCTTTAAACTTTGCTTTATTTGGAAATGAACAGAGTAAGTAATAATAGATAATAACAGGAACTTAAATAAATAATAGCATGGAGCTGGGGAGATATCTTGGTAGAATAAGCACTTTCCAGGCAAGTGCAAGGGCCCAAGTTCAATCCCCAGTTCCACCAAAATAAATAAATAATAGCATGTGTGGAGCCTGCCATGGTATAAGCCCTTAGTTCTCTACTAGCACTTGTTTCTTGGTTATTTGCCACTAGTCTTTGCTCTTTCAGGTTTTCTATTATTTGTTATTTTTATTTCTCAGGGTAGTGGGGAGGCAGCCCACGGCCCCATGCACACTCACCGAGCCCAGGACCTCAGCTGTGGCCCTGGCCGCCTTCTGGGTGTAAAATAGAAATTCACAGGAAGGTCCTCCTGGGCACCTGTCCCCTGTGATTCCTGCTAGCAGGAACGAGGTATGTGATCAAGCAAGCAGACAACTCTCTGTCCTGGTGGAAGAAGGGCTAGAGGGTTGCGCACTGGGTAGTCAGCATGTACAGTGAATGTTAACCTTCAGAATGTGTGTTGCATAGGAGATGCGGCCATGCGTCTCCCTACAGCTCTGCCCTTCTCTTGAGCATCCCACCCTCCCTGTCACCTCCAAAGCAGCTCTGCAGTCTCCTTGCTGAGCATCTTTATGAGATGTGATCAAAGATCTGATGGGTGCTGCTGCCCAGGGCTATGCAGTGGAAAGGCAGCTCATAAAAACATGATGCCCAGGGTGCAGGACAGCTCAGCAGTACCAGTGCCTGCCTGTAAAGTTCAAAGTCCTGAGTCCAATTCCCAGTACAAAAAGGAAAAAAAAAAAAAAAAAAAAAAAAAGTGCTGTTTTACTGTTCTCTATCTATTGGATTCACCACGAAAGGAGCTGAGTGCCTCCTGGCTCCTCCCCAGAGTGAAAGTGACCATGAAGGGAACTTCTGAATAGATTCAGGACACCAAGGCAGCTGCACAGAGGGCTCCAGAG